GGCGCACACAGCCGTGTTCAGCAAGGAGGGCTACATCAAGAAGCGCAAGGCCAACGCCATCAGCGAGCTCATCACCGAGCTTTGCCAGGAGGTCCGCATTCACGCTCTCCACCTCGTGGACGCCTTCGAAGTCGACGACTTTATCGTCCACGCCCCTCTTGGCCTCAAGGTGCGCCCACACACGACACACGCAACACTCACCCCACACCCCACACCCCACACGTCTAACGAGCGTTGGTGATTATGTGTGGGAGCAGCCGGACGGACACGACCCTCTGTTGCGGGTGCTCAACTACGTGCAGACCAACTATGCCACCTACCCGCAGAGCTCCTGAGCTCCCCGTGTTCTTGGCCTGCAAGATTTAACGAGGCAGATGACGTGGCCAACAAAAATAAACAATTAAAATTAATTATCAAACCTGTGATTTTAATTTTAATCACTAGGATGTATCTGCAGAGTGCTGGCCGCGATCGCGGCACGGAATGGGACGAGATTCAGAGGCGTATGGGCAATAAGCCGCAGCTGGAGGAAGGAGATGAGGATGACAGTGAGGAAATTGATTACGGCCGCGCCCTCAAGAGCAAGAGCGAGAAGCTGAAGGAGGACCTCGTGGCCAGCAACGCCTCCTACGAGGAGGTCAAGGAGCACGAGGACGAGCTCCTTGACGATGACGATTTCTTGGAGGCCTACAGGTGCTCATTTCCCATTTCCATCACTGATTCATTCCACTACGCGCTTTGATTTACACGTGGCAGATCGGCTCAACATCTTTTGCCCACATGCAATGCAGGAGGAAGAGGATCGCCGAGCTGCAGGCCAAAGCGCAGAAGGACGTGTACGGCGATCTGGTGTCCATTTCCGAGCCCGAGTACAAGGAGGTGGTCAACACGCCGAACACGTGGGTCGTCGTCTTTCTCCACAAGTCGGGGTACCACACACACCCTTCTCCACCTCCGATCTGGTGGTGGTGGTGCTGTTGTTGGCATTCACTCATTCATGCATCATCACCTACCCAGCATACCCTCGTGCCAGCTGATGACGCAGATCCTGCAGCGACTCGCCGGCACCTTCAAGGCCACTCGCTTCGTCAAAATCGATTCCCAGGAGGTGCGCCCACACCACACACACAACACGCACACCGCACACCGCACACCGCACACCGCACACAGCACACAGCACACAGCACACACTGCATGCAACAGCACTGGATTGAAAAAATGTGGTCGAATCGTTGCACGCGTACAGGCCATTCACGGCTATCCCGACAAGAATCTGCCCACGTTGATCATCTACTACAACGGCGACCTCAAGAAACAGTTCATTGGCGAGGCTGCCTTTGCCAGGGGTGACCCGACCGTCGCAGGTACGTGTCGTGTCGTGTTGTCTTCAGTTGAATCCAACTTAACCTAAGGAGCAGACTGAAGATTGGAGCCCGGCCTCACACTTGGTTGTGCTGTGTGTGGCGTGTGTGGCGTGTGTGTGTGTGTGTGTGGTGTGTGTGTGTGTGTGGTGAAGACGTTGAGTGGAGACTGAAGCAGGTGGGTGCTGTCGACTCGGACATGGAAGAGGACCCAAGCAAGAACAAGGGGCCATCGGTACTCTTTCCGTTCTTATAGGCTTCTTCGCATACGCCATTTCAGCCCATTCACCCTGTGACGTGTCCATGTCCATGTCCGTAGGTGCGGCTCAACTATGTCGCCGCTCGCTCGCGCAGGGACGAAGACGACTGAGCCAGCAACGCGTTGTTGTTTGCACTTGGCGAACGGTACACAAACAAATAAAGACCCCCCCTATTTAAGATTCATGTCCCTCTTCCGGTTCGGGCAAGCACGTGGCGAGCAATGTGAGGCTCTGACGCAAGCAAAAGAGGAGGGGAGAGAGGCAAAAGGAGAGGAGTACAAACGACGGGAGCAGGGCAGGCTGATGGTGGGGTAGGAGTACAAACGACTGGCATCAGGGGAGGGGAGAGGAGAGAGGCAAAAGGATACGGCATGGTGGATTCCCGGGTGGTCGCCCACCCCAGTACTAACACCACCTGGCGCAGCTTGACTTCGCTGTTCGGATGGGAAGCGGTGCTTTCTGCGCAGTATGGCCGTATCCATCAGGCATAGGTCTCTCCATTCATGTGCTACTGCTTGCCTGTGATCAATAATATAAGGTTAAAAATTGTCAACCAACTGCCTACTCCCACTCATTGGCCCCTGACCAACAACTGTTGCCAGTTGGCAGTTGGCAAGGATGAAGGGGTGGTAGAGGTGGGAGTGGCTTGTGCTTGTGGATATGGTGTTGCAGCCAGCCTGGTGACTTGAAGGCACATGTACACCTGCCCACCAGGCAGGAGTGATGTGCTGAGGATGGTGTGCATGGCTTTTGCCAAGGGGGTGCTGCAGATGAACAGGAGGAAGCCATTGATGTACTCTCCACCATCATCTCTTCTTCCTTGCCATCTGAACTGTTTCCTTGCCCTTCTCACTTCACTGTCATTTCAAGGGGCCAGCACTTGCTTTGGCGGGCAGGCACAGTTGATTCCACTCACAACAGACACCTGCAATGTGCAACACAAACAACATGAGAAGGCCACTTTCTTTGTAGAGTGTGGTTTTCTTCTTTTGTGCTGCATCACACCAAGGAGCTGAGTGACAGTTAGAATAAGGCTGAGGACACCCACATGACACACACATGCTACACACATGCAACACACATGACCTGACAAGTCACAAACCTGTGTTCTGTTTAGCTGTCAACTTGTACTTTTGGCATAGCATTCTTCCCCTTTGTGCTTGATGATAGGCATCCCATCTCTTTTGTGCAGCAATGATATGAAGCCACCAGTCTTGTTCTTGAGGCACAAGCTCCAGCCCTAAGTGAGTGAACATGTCCAAAAGGACCTTGCCACCTAGCCAGAGATGAGCATCAGCACACCCACACAACAGCAATCAGTCACATGTGTGTGTGCCTACACCACATTCACCAATAATCATTGCTCAACTAAGGTGGACATACCTTCATTCCTCTCAAGGATGCTGGCATCAAAGAGACAGCATATGGAACTGGATTGTGCTGATGGTAGCACTTGCAGTCTGCCAGGTAGCTGTCAATCAGGGTCACAAGGGCATCTAATGTGTCCTTGTCAGCAATGGGATTGGCATGTTTTGTCACCTTCAATGGGGGTGAAGGCAGTGCACATGCAACTGATTGGTGATGTGTGGGATGAAGCTCTTCATGTGGCCAGTGCAGGTCTCTGGACTCCTTGTGTGCTTCTTGACTCCTATCAAATCCACAGTGAGCTCCAAATCACAACACACAAAACACCACACAACACACAGCACACACCATGGGTGTCAACTACAACCCTCTTCCACCATGCTGCTTGATCCTTCACCTCTCATTCCTTCCTCCCCCACTCCTCCTCTTCCTTTCATTCTTTCTAGCCTGGCCTGTTGTTCCTCTTTGGCCTTCATTTTTCCTCCTCCCTCTTCTCCTGTTGTTTTGCAGTACTCTTCATGTTTTGTTGCTTCTGTAATATATGAACAACAATGAGCTTGAATCAAAGCAAGCTCTCATTCTCATCTACATTCATCTTCTTCAATCACTTTGTTCTGAACAAGAAAAAGGGCTTGAAACACAAAGGGGTATGGTCAAGGAGGGGGAACATAATATGACCAGGCCTTGGGCTGGCCATCATTGAATCAGTCCTCATGTGGCAACTTGGGGCTCTTATTGTCCAGAGCCCATAACAACAAAGCAACCAGCTGCTTTAACTGGCCACCAACAACAACACATCCAGATCTTGTCTTTGTTCATGGCTTAGATTATGTCATGGCTGTATTGCCCATGTTGGTCCAACCAATTGTCTTTCATGTTCTTCAGGGCACCAAATTTATAGTGGAATCTGCATGGCATCAAGAACATTTCTGGGATTCATCTCATGCTTCTCTGTCCAGTGCTGCAGGACAAGGGCCATCAAGTGGATGATCACTATGGCTTCAAGTGGTGTGTCTTTGCATGGTAAGTTGCATAGGCAGGTTTTATGTGATTGGTCTGCTGTTGGTATGCTGTCTGTTTTTCCCCTTAAACTCTGGCACAGTTCAGCAAGACTGGGGGCTGGAAATAGGGTTAGTTCTTTCCACGTTGCTGGGACTGAGTTGTGGCACACCTTGGTGCACTTACTTATTGATCACAGGCAAGCAGTAGCATGTGAATGGAGAGACCTATGCCTGATGGATACGGCCACACTGCGCAGAAAGCACCGCTTCCCATCCGAACAGCGAAGTTAAGCTGCGCCAGGCGGTGTTAGTACTGGGGTGGGCGACCACCCGGGAATCCACCGTGCCGTATCCTTTTGCCTCTCTCCTCTCCCCTCCCCTGATGCCAGTCGTTTGTACTCCTACCCCACCATCAGTTTGTCGTTGGTGGGGTTTGGTTCGCTGGCCACTGAGAATACCGAACGGAAACCGGAGAAAGAGAAGGTCTTCGCCTTTTTGTTTTGTTTAGTTTTGGTGTTGAACAGAAGCGAGGCGATGGAGGCGAAGGCTGTCGTTGGCGAGGAGGCCTACTGGAATGGGCGCTGGACGAAGGAGCCCATCACGGTGCCGGCGAATGACCTCTCCGTGCTTCGCGGGTTCGGCTGCTTCGACTTCCTCACGACCTACCAAAGGTGCCGGCGCCGTAGACACACCCCCCCCCCGGGCCTTTGGCACTCAACTACTAATAACGTTATTAAGTAAATGTAGCACTGTATTATTATATTATTGTATATATTAATTATATTATATTGCTGGGCGCAGGCGTCCCTATCGCACGAAGGAGCATGTGGCGCGCCTCTTCCACTCGGCAGAGCTGCTGGGCCTCACCGTGCCTGCCACCCAGGACCAGGTGCGCATAAACTTCTACTAATAAAAAAATATACTAATAATCAATAA